GGTGTAAATGGCCTGTGCCCTACCCGCTGAGCTATGGGCGCCACCATCCAGCTTTCTTGGTTTTCATTTGTCTGATATGCTTTCACCATTCTTTTATTTAAAACACCCTTAATCATGTTACTTTAGGCATATGTTGAGTTTTGCTTTTGATCCAATTAAAAATTATTTTTTAATCGAAAAATTCAGCATATTTAAACATAGTGATATATCAGACATTCTGGTTTTATATTTCTCAGACTCTTACACTTTTTGCTGTTTCTATATTTTTAAGTTTTCACTGCATCTATAGTTTTTTCTGTATTTCACTCATGTGTGTGTCACCATGTTCATAGCCTCACATAATTCTTCTAATTCTTCATTTCCATCGGACAGTGACTATTAGATCCCCGCTGACTGAGAGTAGACTGAGCACCTTTTGTTCCTCTCCCCTTCTTTTACCACATAATTTTATTTAATATCTGCTCTTTCTTTGTGCTTACCTTTATTTTGTAAGACTTGCTTATAATGCTATTAGTTGACTTGTCAGTTTTAGCTGTTATTTTTCTTCTTGAGACAAAGTCTCGGTCTGTCCCCCTGGGTAGAGTGCTCTGGCCTCATAGCTCACAACAACCTCAGACTCCTGGGCTGAAGTGATGTCTCAGCTTCCCGAGTAGCTGGGACTACAGGTGCCAGCCACGATGCCTGGGTCGTTTTTCTATTGTTAGTAGAGATGGGTCTCCCTCTTGCTCAGGGGTTCCAGAACTCCTGAGCTCAGGTGATTTACTTGCCTTGGCCTCCCAGAGTGCTGGGATCACAGGTGGGAGCCCCACACCTGGCCGCGTTGGTTGTCTTTGATTCATCATAAACAGGGCTTCTTGTTCCCTTAGCCTCCTAATTTTTAATGGATCCTTTCCACACTCTCAGGGATGTAGCCTTTACCTTTTATCATTTTAAAGCCCATGTTGTTTTAATCTCACTTCTGCGTTTAAATATATATCTATATGGTGCTTACCACTAAGTTGTGTTTATCAATTTTTTCTCAGTCATGTCTCAGTTTATCTTTTAGTAATTTCCTCAAAAAGGGCTCTTGCACACTGAAACTACTCACAGTTTTTAGACGTGAAGGTTGCATAGACGTGGGTGCTATTTTTAGCTCCTGTGTTCTCTTCTTGATTACTTTGGAGATATCTCTCCACTGTCCTCTTCTACTGATTGTTGCTATGAAAATATTAATGCAAGATAGATATTTTTCTTTTTTTAAAGTGACAGTTGTTGTTTCTGATAGCCAAATGATTTTTCTTTATCTTTTAAAGTCTAATGACTTTAGTCAGTAGCGTATGACTTGGAGTTGAGCGTTCTAAGTCAACTATTAATATTTCTGGTACACAGTGTGTTCTTCTCAAAATATAAGTCAGGTTTTCTTTTATTTGGTGAAAGTCTTGTTTAATAATACCTTTCAATATCTGTTGTATTTTGGTTTTCCTTCTAAGGACTTCTCCAATTGTGTGGTTGTTAGATGTATTTTTTCTGTCTGGCTTCAATATCTATTATTATATCTATTATTTTTCTAATTCCTGCTCTTTAATTTTTATTTTATTACATTTTCCCTCATTTGTGCACTCTCTGATTCCTGCTGTGTCTTCCTTGTAATTTTTCCCTAGTTTTCTGAGCTGTGTCCCCTCCTATTCCGTCCGTTCCTGTGGTCTTCATCTCTTTCCTGAGTTCTTTCACTTCTGCTGTAATCTTCCTTCCTAGAGGCAATTGCTACTCTAAATTTAACTTCTGTTAAAATGCTCAGTAACCTTCGCTGTCTATGCGTTGGCAACATGAGTCTGATGGGGTCCATGCTGAATTTGCTGCTCTGTTTTCAATTTGATTTTTGTTTTTTGTGTATGACACCTGTATGCCCACAATATGCTGGTTTGTAAGATTGTCTCTTAATTACTTAGCTTTAATGAGTTGGACTTTTTATTTTTTTTTGACTGGAATTATGCAGGATATCCCTGAGTAAGAGGTTGGGACATGGCTCTAGGGTGCCTCAATTTTTACAAACTGGGGGTAAGACTGCATTTAGCAAAAACTGACTCAGGTCTTTGCTATAAGCAGCCCTGAAACAAACCAGCCGAGGGAGAGCTCCGGCTGGCAGTTTGTTCACTCCTTTTAGCATCGTGGAGATGCGCATGAAGGGTGAGGCTGGGGTGCTGCGGACGCCCCTCCTCCACCAGCACCCTCTCCTAGCACACCCTGGGAACCTGCTGCTTGCCTCTCACACTTCCCTGTCTGACTTTCGCCCAGTCCCCACTGCTTGGCTCCCTTCTCTGGAATCTCCCTTCTCACAGATTCCATCGCTGACTTTTGCTGAAAGTGGAATTAGTTTGGAGAATTATTCTCCCTCATCCTCATGGCTGCTCTTATTTCCAGGAGAAGGGGGACAATCATGACTCACGTAGTAATGCAGTTTGTCCTGGAAGTGGGGGTCTTTGATACAGATGTGGACAAATCTCCTTATACTGAAAACTCGTCTCATGTTTACTTTTCTTTATTTCGTATCCTTTGTCTTGATAATTAATCAAGTATTCCTCAGTCCAGCCTCAAATTCATGCCACTTTTTTCTCCTTCATGTATTTCCTGCTTCTTTTAAACTGTACTGAATGATTGAGCGTTCCCTCATACGCCGTTTTTATTTCTCATGCTTTTGTCCACTTTGTTCCCTTTGGTCGACCTTCCTCTTCCAACTTGTCAGCTTTTCTCCACCTTCATGTTGTTTATTATTGATTAAAATCCTTTCTGGGCCGCCAGACCTGTCTCCACAGTACCAGTCCTCCCAGCTGTCTCTTGGGTGGCCGCGTACGGCCTTGGTACCTTCATCTGTTTATGCCCCATTGATGTTACCTGTGTTTTCTTTAAACCGTATCCTACTGCACATGGTGCCTCTCTTTTCTGCCAGGTGGGAGGAAGCCAGTGACGGAGCCATAGTTGCGCCCCATTCACACCTGAGCACAGAACATCCTGTGTTAAGCATCCAACAGGCATTTGTTTTAAATGATACAATTATGCAAAAAACAGAATTATTTTCTTAAACACAGACACCACTTCCTCATCCTCCTTGCTGGTGTACAATGCATCTGCTCGTGGGAGTGATTTGGCTCTTCCTATCCTCTGAAGCTCCGGATCCCTGCAGATGTGATTATAGATGCACTTGTTTATTCATTCCAACAGTCAAACTGTGTTTTGATTATTTTAATTGTCTTATTTCAATACAGAATAATTTTTCTTGGCTTCATCTGAGAGCTGTTAAGTAGATTAAAGAACAAAAATGGAAAAAAACCAAGCTTTTAAAATCATCTATCCTATCATCATATAAATGCCTTTAAAAAAAAAAACTCTGTTAAAATTTAACTTTTAAATTTACACTGAAGTAAAAGGAATAGCAGAAGCTTGGAGAAAATTTCCCCACATGCATTCTGTGTTTTAGAAACATTAAAATTTCTAGATAAAGTAAGACTTGAGAATGTTCTTCCCACTATTTCATTTAATTGGTTCGCTTACCAAATGTAATTTACACGTCATCCTCTCCCTCACTTCGTAGCTTTGAAAGCTGTATTTGATGAGAAAAGTCTGTTTCCTGAAGAACTTCTGGATCACGAACAAAAAGCCAAGCAATTATTTCAAGGAACAAGTGATAAAGTGAAGAAAAAAAGAAATAAGAAGAAATTATAATTGGAAAAAAATTCATTGTTACATAAAGTACATATATAAAATGCAGAAAAGGAATCGAGAATTCTGCCTTTTTTTGTTACTTTCTATTTAAACTTTAGGACGTTTCATCTTCAGAAGACAGTTTAGCTTTTTTTTATCTGTCCTTCACTTTCTCTGTTATTCTTAATAAAAGAAAAACGGGACTTAAAAGGGGGCAGTATCAATGGGTATCTATTCTCAAGAGATTTCACATAAAAATTTAGGATTCTAGAACAAAGCACTCTAACCAGTCGCCTTCTGGTTGATTCTATAGACCAATGTTTCTGGCCAATTTTCATTGTCAAACCTGTGTGAAAATACGTGAAAAGTGTTCACACAGCGCATATCGACAAATGCGGATAAGAAAACTGTTTCCACTTCCTTACACTTTCTAGCTTTTTAAAAAAGATTCTGATGATTATGGGAATTAGACCTTGTCCATAGCTGCGTTTTTTGCTAATTCTTGTCAACTTTTATTCGTTCTTCCATATAATTGTGGGAAATTACCACTTTTGACGTACTTCTATACTTTCTCATGCTGTACTTAAAATGGAGTGGCAAAGGACAATCAGAGCAATAGTAACCTTGAAAAAAATCTTGGGGCCTGGGACTAATATCTGGAAGGTCAAGTAGAAAATATTTGTTTCTCAAACTTACTCCTCACCTTTTTCAGTGTCATTTTTCTTTATAAATATCATTTTCCAGGCAACCATATCCTAACTCTGATTTAGTCACTGGGTTCTGTAGAAGGAATTAATAAATTCATTTATATAACTTTAGTTATTTATTACATATTTATAATTTAAAGAGTCCTTTCAAAGATATTTGTGTTTTTAAGAAGAATTTTGCAGTAACACATAAATAATCAAGGAAAGTAATTAACGGTGTATAGAGGCCTACTCTGTACGGCAACTGAAAAGTGCCCTCTGTGTAACCTTCACAGTGACCATGTAAGGTACAGCGATCTCGATGAGCAGAACAATGTGAAATCTGAGGTCCAGATCCCCTGGGGAGGGCCCAGTCATGAATGAAAGCGTTGGGATTGGAGCCCAGGCCTGTTTTACCCCCAAACCACGGTATTTGCCATTCATTGTCCTGGTCCCTTACTTCCTAACAGTATCAAGTCACGGGAATGAACCCGAAGCAGATTTTGCAACATCGGGGGAGAAAATAGTTTTGTTTCGTGGAGAAGTTGGTGGTGGAACAAGTTTCAAAAGACAGCTGCTCATTTTAACTACGTTTAAGTGCATTCTGAGTTACGCATTGAGACTTCTGTGCTTCCTGCTTCTCCTTCCCACAGAATGACAATCACAGGAAAGACAGAGAGGAAAGTGTATCTGTGTGTGTGGTGTGGTGGTTATGTAGGAGAGTGTCCTGGCTTTAGAAACATATATTCCAAAATGTTGAAGTGTGACAAAGATTATGATTGCAGCCTGCTCTACAATGGCTCAGAAATGCTAATTTGACACGTGGCATGTAGCTATAGACTCACATAACCCTTGTTTGACCTTTTGTCTGGCTATCTGTCCATCTGTGGAGAGAGGTAGGTAAACAGGGCCCAGATAACAGCTGGGAAACTGGGAAAAGGTGGTGGGGGAGGTCGAGATGGCCACTCTACTATATCTTCAACTGTTATGTAAATTTGAAAGTACTTCAAACTTAATTATTTTGTAAAATGCAAAAATTTGCCTTTAGACAAAGAATTGTTTGACACATTCAAACAGACACTGAACTGGGTAAGCCCTGGGGATATTGCAGAGAACTCCTGCCTGGGAAGGCGGTCGGATCTGGGAATCCACCATTGCAAACTTGATGGAGCACAAGATCTAGGAATCAAATCATCCTTGTTGATGGAACAGTGGAGTGAAATCTGAGTCAACCCCCCGGGAATTTAAAAGAACATTGAGAGGTGCAAGAGGCATAACACTGATACCCAGGAATTTGCAAAGGCTTTTCTCCATTGATGCAGCTCCTGAAAGTCTGTGAGAGGCACAGTTTTAGACAACGGGTGTCACGTAGAAACGGAATTTCCTTCTTCCCTCAGCGCTCTGGAGTGAAGCCACTTACAATGTAGTGGTTAATTGAGCAAAGACGGAACAAGCCAAGTACCTTTTCTGGTATAATTAAAAAATACTTTACTAGACGTGTTTTAGTTTTTACCCTTGGAGATGACTTTGTTTGAAGGGCTTAGCGTGAGATCAATCGTCTGCCTCAGACATACAGAGCTTGCTGCATGTGTATGGCCCTGTCCTGGGTGCGGTGCTAATTCTACCTTTAATTAACTTCAGGGCCTCTTCTGTAAAAGGGATTAAAAGTAACCATCTTGCAAGTATGTTTAAGCAGAAAGGATATTTTAGAGGTATGAGAGTTTCTTTTAATGTTGCTCTTTCTAATAATTTGGAGCATGAACGTGTAACAAGGAGAAAAAAGGCATTCAGACATTATGGCTCACATTTCCGTTGTACCTTGCAGGATCTGACATGCTGAGCAGGTAGCAGGGGCCCCCCTCCAACTGTTAATAGGATGGAAGACACTGCAAACCATTTCTGCAATTAACATTTACATTCAATTATTGAAGATCTATTTTTTTCTACAGTGAAAGGAGCTTCTCACATTAAAATTATATGCCATAATTTTCAATAGGCGACCTTGTTCATATTATGTAGACTTATGCTAAATACAATTTAACCATTTTTCTTTTCAAAACATTTTCCTCTTATCACTCAAAATATACAGAGCAAACTAAGAGAGAAAAATCTCCTGAAATTAATTCATTCTCAAATGGAAGGATTACCTTTTAAGTTCCCTATTGATGACAGCGTTGGTTTGCGTGTTTTTAATGTTCGAAATTAAGTGCATTTTTTACTTTTCAAGTGCTAAGAATGGCGATGACATTGTAACTGTCATTCCCTGACAATGTTTTATATGTATGTTCCAGGTTTATCTTTTATATCAAGGCGCTTGCCTCTTATTCATGAATAATTTGTTTCCTGATTCTCTAAGGGTAAAATAGAGTTGTAGAAGGTACAGATTTGTGAAGATATTTAATAAGTTTGCAATAATGGATTATGGACAATGGCAGAATCTTCATTGTCCATTAAAAGAGTTTAAGCCAATGGAGAGAAATTCACGGCTATTGCTTTTTCCTCCCCAAGAGACAGGAAAATGAACATTCTGTGTGAACTGCTCTATTGTGAGGTCCTTAAAGACCAACTTTATTAAATGATGTTGGTAGGACTGAGTCGCTGTCTCCCCACCGTAAGGAAGGCAGTGGCCTGTTCCTGGGCAAATCCTGCTGTGAGCGGAGTAATGTTCAGATGTGACAGTGGGGCAGCCAAGGGTATGGGTGATCAAAGTTCGCAGGTGTCACCACGTAGGTTGGGAGGCCCTGATGGAATGATAGTCCTGGACGTCCAGAATTACTAGTAATGTTCCTCAGGGTAGAATAAGTAGAATAATCACGTCCCTGGTGCACAACTCTGTTTTTGGAACATTGTCTTTCCCTGCATTAAGTTAAAGCCAGAATAGACATTGCTTATGCTTGAGAAGTAACAGTAAAGCAAAACCCAAGATTTAGAAAACATTTGGAGATGCAAATTAAGAATACAAGCAACTAAGAACTCTAGTTAATTAGGAGATTATGGCTTATCGTGGCCTCTCGGGGCTGAAAGAGTTTAATAAGGACCTTTACAAAGTTTTTATAAACTGAATTCCTTTTAAAGCTGTCTATACTCATCTTATGTGTTTTCCATGAATTTATAGAACTAATATCAAAATTGGTGCTCAACAATGTCATATTTGTTTAATTAAAAGTATATGAAATTCTCCATTTGACTCTCCAGAAGCTAATGATGAATTATACAATGTGCTTAATATCTGATTGTCATTGAGGTGATTGATTTGAACTGTGAAAATGAGATAAAAACCCATTATATCATGCATCTAATAACCTGTTGTAGGGAAAATCATGTAGTGTTTTAAAAGCACATAAAAATATTACCAACATCTATTATCAAGTTACCTGTGGTTAATAGTAGTGTCCTGACATAGTTTGGTAAACCCATAATCTTCATCTGTTCTTCTTGTGAAAATAAAGAATATATTTATTCAGTGTCCACTTTTTGCCCTAAGGATCCATGTGGGCCTTGTAACCACAGGAAACTCCTGTGCTGTATAATTTGATGAATTGTTGAGAACGCCGTAAATGCAGCCGTAATTTTTCTCTGCATTCTGGACGTGATTTAGTTCTATTCTTTTTCTCCTAGGCATTCTGAAATATTTATGCTGGGGCGCACTGGGAATCTGATATGAGAGTCCTGTGAGAAACAAAAAGAGCTAATTACCAGCAAATTTATCACCACTGGCACATTCTTCCAAATTCTATTTCTACTTTTTAAAAAAGTGAAATATTGGATGAAATAGTAATACGGACAATGATGTAGCAATCCTATTCTCAGTGCATGTTTCACTGGTTTATCATTCACCTAATCATGTTCTTTTATACAAATATAGTGAACACCTGCTCTGGTTCTGGGAAAATCAATCAAGCAGTGTTCAAGATAAATGCTGTTGGCCTTGACTGGTCAGGTGTCCACGTACAAGTGCTTCCCAGGAAGCTTATATTAGTTGGAACATTCCAGTGAATAATCAGAAGCCAGTGTGGGGTAAGTACCTTAAAATTAAGTGGCTTTTGAGTGAAATATGTACATATATGCAACGACATTGACCGTGAGTGTTCGGTAAGTAGAGGAACGGCATTTCAGTTCACTTTGAAGCAGTTACCATTTTTAAGTTAACATGTTGCTTTTAGACTCCTGTGACGATTTCAGTGTAATTTAGAAGGCCCGATTCCTATGGGGCTATTGATCAGCCTGTTCAGTTTACCAGTATTTTGTGCTTTCCGATGACACGTGGTCTAAAACTTAATGTGGTAAGTGAGTTTTAAAACCAGTCTTTTCCTGAGGTTATGCTTTATTAAGTGC